ATGGAGGTCTGCCTTTTACATGCACACAGAGCGCTGGGTCCCCCGCGACAGGATGGGAGCCCAAAAGATGTAATTTGTTGCCTGCGAGACGGAGAACTGAAAGAGCAGATGATGGGGACCGCCATAAGACAAATGGTAATCAGATTCCGAGGAACCGATGTCTCCCTGTTCCAAGACCTGTCTCCGCTGACATTGGACGCCAGGAGAGCTCCGCACTCCGAGAAAAAATAATTATGTACTGCTGGGGCTTCCCCTTCAGCTTACAAGCTAAACAAGGCAGCACCTGGGTGACAGCACGCTGGCTGGAGGATGCTGCTGGCTTCCTAAGAGATCAAGATCAGGAACTGGATCACAGAAGAGGCGCTGGCAGCAAGAAGAGACCCACTGGCACCCATACACCTGATGGATGCGCAACCTGGCAGGACTATTCCGCAACAGTGCCGATGGGGAAGCCCGGCTGGTGTGGAGGAATAAGAAGCTGCAGATGTCAGGTGGCAGACAGGTGACCGATGAGTGACGTATAGGAGGGAAGAAGGAGTACATAGAAAGACGTGTTGTAGGGGGGGAGAGTGGATGCTTTGGGAGAGGGGCAGGCGGGGATCACAAGGGCTACTAAGTACATGGACCAGGCGGGACGTTCGGGACACAGAGGGCAGGAGATTCCTGGGCCATTGTGATGGCAAAGTTTGGGGGGGGAAGGGATTACTGCCCGGTGACCTCTGGGGGATAAGCTGAGTGACTGAAGCCTCATAAGAATGAACAGCAAGCTGATAACTGAGGAGCTAGACTTGAAACGGGACAGTATACTGAAACTGGGAAGGAGAGGGACTGGAACTGAAATGGGACGCTATACAGCAATTGGGAAAGAATGGGGGACAACTGCCCGGAGACACAGATCACAACGAATCCCCTACAGAGGGAGATCACTTTAATCAGATAGCAAGCACACCCCACACACTCATACCCATGTTATAGGAACCTGACGCAGTGAGAAAGGGAAGGAAGGAATAAAATAGACATGAATAGGAACAGAGGCCCCCAGACCCCTTTCGGAATAGCACGCCCTGAGATGATATTAGAGGCAGGAACGGGGACGGGGGAGGGGGGAGGAATGAGGCCTGAGCCACAGGTATAGGCATAGCGGACAACTAGCATAATTGACCGGGGCACAGACCCAGACCATGAGGCCTGGCACAGACCCCTACAGCCCACCAACGACGCAGCCTGATGATCCGATGGCCCGCAGCCAACAGACCACATTACCACCCGACCCACGGCAGGGAGACGCACAAATGACACCCAGATCTCGGGACCAAGCAGAGACCGACGCTACTGACCAGGGCCGGACTGGGAAAAAAATTAGGCCCGGGCATTTTTCAAAGAAGGGGGCGGGGCCAGAGAGTGTGTGTTTTGTCATCACTAATGACAAGCACGCCCCCTCTCAAAGTGAGCATGTTGGTTCAATGCCCAGAGCCCTGCTGAAGAGCTCTGGCATTAGAAAAAGGCCCTGAATTTGTTCTGCGCAGCGCAAGCAAATTTAATAACATGCTTGCGCTGTGTTTGCTTTTAAATTGTCTCTGGTGTCTCCCCAAGTGGGATACCAGAGGACAAAAGGGCCAGGAAAGTGCATGGTGCATATGTTTGGAGACTGCTTGTGGGATTGCGTGTGTGTAGAGTGTGGTGTGGTATTGTGTAAATAGGTCAATTTCATTTGTGTTTGTGGTGTAATATGTGTGGCTAGGGGCTGTAGAGAGTGTGTGTATAGGGGGCATAGTTTTATAGGGGATGCAGCGAGTGTGTGCATACGGGCTGAAGTGTGAGTGTGTGTATAGGTGACGTAGTGTGTGTAGGGGTAGCAGAGAGGGTGTGTTTAGAGAATGTTGTATATGTTTGCTGACAAGGAATGAAGTGTGTGTGTGTAGGAGATCTACTGTGTAAAGGACCCAGTGTGTGTGTGTGTGTGTGTGTGTGTGTGTGTGTGTAGAGGATTAAGAGTGCATATAGGGTAAGGGATCTAGTGTGTATCTGGAGCGTAATGTGTGTAGTGGTGCAGTGTGAGGGGTGCTGTAGTGTGTGTGTGTGTGTATATATATATATATATATATATTTGGACTTATTGTATGTGTGAGGGGCGCAGTGTGTGTATGTAAGAGGGGTGCTGTGTGTGAGGGTGTTTTTATCTGCTGTCACATTCTAGGTTTCTAATTTTCTTTGTCTGTTAACTCACTGAGGGTTATTTTATATATATATATGTGTGTGCTGTATATGTGTGGGAGTGTGCTGTGTGTGAGTGAGGGTGCTGTGTGTGACTGGGTGATGTGTGTGTCTGGGTGCTGTGTGTGTCTGGGGGTGCTGTGTGTGTCTGGGGGTGCTGTGTGTGTCTGGTGGTGCTGTGTGTGTCTGGGGTGCTGTGTGTGTCTGGGTGTGTGTGTGTCTGGGGGTGCTGTGTGTGTCTGGGTCTGTGTGTGTCTGGGTGCTGTGTGTGTCTGGGTGCTGTGTGTGTCTGTGCTGTGTGTGTCTGTGGGTGCTGTGTGTGGGTGCTGTGTGTGTCTGGGGTGCTGTGTGTGTGGGGGTGCTGTGCTGTGTGTCTGGGTGCTGTGTGTCTGGGGTGCTGTGTGTCTGGGTGCTGTGTGTGTCTGGGGGTGCTGTGTGTGTCTGGGTGCTGTGTGTGTCTGGGTGCGCTGTGTGTGTCTGGGTGCTGTGTGTGTCTGGGGGTGCTGTGTGTGTCTGGGGGTGCTGTGTGTGTCTGGGGGTGCTGTGCGTGTCTGGGTGCTGTGTGTGTCTGGGTGCTGTGTGTGTGGGGGGTGCTGTGTGTGTCTGGGGGTGCTGTGTGTGTCTGGGTGCTGTGTGTGTGAGTGAATGTATTTTTTATTTAAATTTAAATATTTTTTTATTAATAAAAAAAAATGATACCCCTCCCCTTCTTACCTTTATCCTGGGGGGGGGGGAGATCCGTTCTGCCTGGGGTCTGGGGTGCCATGCTGCCTTCCCTGGTGGTCCAGTGGTGAGAGTGAAGCGGTAACCGCTGCAACGCTCAGAATCCCGCGAGAAGATCCGGCGGAGCTGCTGGTTAGAGCTCCGCCGGTCCTCTCCTCCCTCCCATCTCCATGCCTCTGGGCTGGTGAGGGAGATCTTTGATCTCCCCACCGGCCCACGGAGGCACACAGCAGGGCTAGCGCTCGGGCATTTGCCCAGTATGCCCGATGGCCAGTCCGGGCCTGCTACTGACCGACGTTCCAGATCCGAAACGGGACGAGACAGGGATGCCCGCTCTCCCCCCTTCTGTTTGCCCTCTCCCTGGAACCATTCCTGGGGGCGGTCAGACAAGACGGGGGCATCTCTGGGTTTACCCTAAAGGGCACTACCCACAAGACACAAGCAAATCGCAACATTGAGGGAGATTGATAATCTTGAGAGGAGTCTACTGCTCACTGAGCAGAGTTTAGTGGGGACAGGTGGTGGAGAGGGAGGAGATAAGACAGATGGGGAACAGGCATGTAGCTGGGTGACAGTGGGGCGAGGAAGCAGGGGGGGAGGGAAGAGGAAAGGGCTAGCTAGTCCTGATTTGGTGCAACCTAGCAGATTTGCCCGTTTGAGGGAAGATGTTGGGAGCATCAGCTCAGGAGTAGCTGTATTAGAGGAAGCTGTTACTTCTAACAGCCGAGCTAACAGCCCCCCTAGTACGGGTGGGGATCAAAATGTAAGGAAGGCAAGACAGGTTGTGGTGGTAGGGGACTCTATCATTAGGAGAGCAGATAGGGCAATCTGCCGCTCTGATCGGCTCAACCGGACAGTTTGCTGTCTCCCGGGTGCTCGGGTCCGGCATGTTGCTGACAGAGTGGATGGATTATTGGGAGGGGCTGGGGATGACCCAGCGGTCATGGTCCATGTTGGTACCAATGACAAAGTAAGAGGAAGATGGAAGGTCCTAAAGAATGATTTCAGGGAATTAGGTAGCAAACTTAAGAAAAGGACCTCCAAGGTGGTATTCTCTGAGATATTACCTGTGCCACGTGCTACAGTGGAAAGGCAGCGGGAGATTAGAGAGGTCAATGCGTGGCTTAAGTCTTGGTGCAGGAAGGAGGGTTTTGGGTTTTTAGAGCACTGGGCCGACTTTGCGATTGGGTACAACCTTTATAGTGGTGATGGATTGCACCTAAACGGGAGAGGGTCTGCAGTGCTGGGGGATAGGATGGCTAGAAGGTTGGAGGAGATTTTAAACTAGTAGTAGGGGGGGAGGGTCATAGCAATCTACAAAATGGAGATAGGACAGAAAGGAGATGGGCTTTAGCACAGTATAAGGGGGGTGGAAACGGGGGGAGGGGCAAGCTCAGAACAGAGAAGCTGTGTAATGTTGAAAATTCACAAAATATACAAGTGACGCATAATATTAAATGTATGCTTACTAATGCAAGGAGCCTAAATAACAAAATGGGGGAACTAGAGGCATTAGCATACACTAAACAATATGATATAATAGGCATAACTGAAACATGGTGGGATGAGACACATGACTGGGCAGCTAACTTAAATGGGTACATGTTATTTAGGAAGGATAGGAAAAACAAGAAGGGTGGTGGGGTATGTTTGTATGTCAAACATGATTTAAAGCCAAATGTTAAGCAAATGGAATGCGAGGAGGATAATGTGGAAGCTTTATGGGTAAATATCTGCTTGGGGGAAAAGAAGGGAAACCAACTATTGGTTGGGATATGTTATAAACCACCTAATGTTAATATTGACGAGGAACAACAGCTGTTTGAGCAAATTGAGAAAGCTGCAAATCTGGGTAACACTTTAATTATTGGAGATTTTAATTACCCGGATATAAATTGGGACAGAGGGACTAGTGCCTCAGCAAAGGGAATTAGGTTTTTAAACTTGTTAAATGACACCTTCATGTCACAACTTGTACAAGCACCAACTAGAATGGATGCTTGTCTGGACCTGGTTTTAACAAACAACGTTGATCTTTTGACCAACATTCAAGTAGGTGAGCACTTGGGAAATAGTGATCACAATATAGTGTCCTTTGAAATAAACTCAAAAAAACAAAAGCACATGGGGAATACTAAAACATATAATTTTAAAAGGCCAATTTCAATAAGTTAAGGGAAGCTTTACAATATATTGACTGGCATAAACTCTTTAGTGAAAAGAACACTGAGGATAAATGGATCATCTTCCAACAAATATTACAAAGGTACATTTCTCAGTATGTACCATTGGGAAATAAATATAAAAGAAACAAATTAAAACCAACATGGCTTAGTAGAGAAGTAAAACAAGAGATTACAACTAAGAGAAGGGCATTTAAAGCATTTAAATCGGACAAATCAGATGCATCTTATAAAAGATATAAGGATGCAAATAATGCGTGCAAAAAGGCAATTAGACTTGCTAAACTTCAAAATGAAATAATGATAGCTGAAGAGAGCAAAACCAACCCCAAAGCATTTTTTAAGTACATAAATTCTAAAAAAAACCAAAATGAAAGTGTAGGTACACTAAAAACTGAAACGGGGGTGTTAATTAATGAAGACCAGGAAAAGGCAGGAATTTTAAATAACTATTTCTCCTCCGTATATATTAAGGAAGAACCCATGGCAATAGATGTGCAAATGATTGCTACTAAAAACTTGCAGAATAATTGTAATTGGTTAACTCAAGACAAGGTGCTGCAGCAACTAAAGAAAGTTAATATAAACAAAGCTCCAGGGCCTGACGGTATCCATCCACGTGTACTTAAGGAACTAAGTGCAGAAATAAGTGAACCTCTGTTTTTAATCTTTCAAGATTCTTTTCTTTCAGGAAGTGTTCCGGAGGATTGGAGGAAGGCAGATGTGGTTCCTATATTCAAAAAGGGTTCAAAATCCTTGCCTGGAAATTATAGACCTGTGAGCTTAACTTCTGTGGCTGGTAAAATATTTGAAAGTTTATTAAGGGATAATATTCAAGAATTCCTTGAGAAGAACATGGTTATCAGCAAAAATCAGCATGGTTTTATGAAGCACAGGTCATGTCAAACTAACTTGATTGCGTTCTACGAAGAAGTAAGTAGAAGTATAGATCAGGGTGTTGCCGTGGATGTGATCTTTTGGATTTTGCCAAGGCATTTGATACAGTTCCACACAATAGATTAGTGTTCAAACTCAAGGAAATCGGTCTAGATGAAAATGCTTGTTCTTGGGTAGAACATTGGCTTAAAAACAGAGTACAAAGAGTTGTCATTAATGGTAAATTTTCAAGCTGGACAGAGGTGGCAAGTGGTGTCAAAATTAATAAAAGGAATGGAACATATCGGCTATGAAGAAAGGTTAACAAATTTAAACCTATTTAGTTTAGAAAAACGCCTGAGAGGGGATATGATAACATTATACAAATATATTCGGGGCCAATACAAACCATTGTGTGGAAATCTATTCACAAACCGGACTTTACATAGGACACGAGGCCATGCGTTTAGACTGGAAGAAAGAAGATTTCGTCTAAGGCAAAGGAAAGGTTTTTTTACTGTAAGAACAATCAGGATGTGGAATTCTCTGCCTGAGGAAGTGGTTTTATCAGAGTCCATACAGATGTTCAAACGGCTACTAGATGCATACTTGCAAGAACAGAATATTCAAGGATATAATCTTTCAATGTAGGGTAATAACTGCTTGATCCAAGGATAAATCTGACTGCCATTCTGGGGTCAAGAAGGAATTTTTTTCCTAGCTTGTTGCAAAATTGTGCTTCAAACTGGGTTTTTTTGCCTTCTTTTGGATCAACAGCAAAAAACAAATGTGAGGAAGGCTGAACTTGATGGACGCAAGTCTCTTTTCAGCTATGTAACTATGTAACTATGTAATATGCTGATGATATGCTACTTTTCATCAGTAACCCCCTGGCCTCCCTCCCAAACCTGTTAAAAGCGTTCCAGGAATATGGGCAGATATTGAATCTGAAGCTCAACACTGATAAATCAGAAGCAATGCTTATCTCCACCGAGCCAGAGGAAGTCGCCCACCTGCTCTCGCAGTTTGCATTCTCTTGGTGTACCTCTAGATTGAAATATCTAGGAATCTGGCTCCCAACGGAACTATCCCAACTGTATACCCACAACTACGCCCTGCTCCTGCAGAACCTTAGGATAGACATGGTGTTCCGGCTTGTGTGTCTCCTGGTTCGGCAGGATGAATGCCGTAAAAATGAACCTCCTTCCCCGGATGCTGTACTTATTCCAAATGGTCCCGATCAGCATTCCTTCTACTTTTTTCCAACAATTGGACGGGTATCTCTTAGTTCTTATGGCGTGGTCAACCACCCAGGATCTGCAGGACTCTGCTTCATAGACTGAAGGAACAGGGGGGAGTGGGGCTCACTTCCATGAGGGACTACCACAGAGCTACGCATCTCCTGCGCACTGTGGAATGGCATATACCACATTCACCCAAAGACTGGATACATATGGAGAGGACGCTGATGAAGGAGACGATTCCGGCAATAGTCTAGAGATACGAAATGATGAAGAACGCCCCAGCCCTCAGCCAGCCGCTCATCAGAGGCACACTGAAGACCTGGAGCACAATACGGACGAAGCTCTTATTCACCACAATACCGGGGCCTATGACCCCGGTGATACACAACCCGGAGTGGCTGGAGTACTCAAGCCCAAAGATGTTGCTGCTTTTCGTGGTGCAGAGAGAACCCATATAAATCAGTGGTGCACCACAGCAACACTTAAACAACTGCCCGACATGCTAGGCGATAAGACGCCGACGTGCCTGGAAAGGTTTCGATACTTCCAAATCAAAGCCTACTACAACGCCCAAAGGGGGAGATGCCTTTTCCACAGATCCCTCACAGAATTTGAGAAATACTGCGAAGCTGGGTCGCAGGTCTCCCAGGGGATCTCGACCCAATACACGATGCTTAGGAGGGCGGTCCCGCTTGAACCTGCAAGGAACGCGGCACGCTGGCGAAAGTGAGCTGAGCGGAGGCGACAGGGGGCGGACAGAACAACCACACCAGTAGGACCCGCTAAGAGCCAAACAGATGGGTACAAATATAGCCTACAGGTACAGAAAGAAAGAAAGAACAAAGCTCACAGAAGAAAGAGCAAAGCTATGGGGAGGGGATTCTTCCATGACCTACAGAGATACAGACCATACACGCAAAACTTCACACACCCAGAACAAAGTAGCAAAGACGCACACTATTGCAAGACAACACACGCACCATAAGCAAGCGATGAAGCTCATGCAATACACACACAGTACTTACGCAGAAGCAAAACCCGCCCTGAACACACCAAGAGGAAACCGTCTCATCAAGATAGACCATAACGCAACAAACCCAATCACGAACAGATTATGCACGCATGGTACATACTGATAGCAACTTCTAAACCTCAGACGCATGATAAAGCCAGTTAAGCACGGGGGAGACAGCGGCGGACCTGGAGGATACAGATTAGACACAGGTGAGTGGAACTGGAGACACCGACAATAAACCTCATGAAGACGCACAGAAAACACATTAACGTAGCTTACCCGTAGCACACATGCGCAAGCTCCATAAAAGGGTCAATGTACCTGTCATACACAGATTGGTACATGCACTAAACTGTTATTTGTCTGAGTCTAGCATTGGCACATGGAAATGTTAACCTCAATGTATACAAAACTACTGTAACTGCATCTGTCTTATTAAAAAAAAATGAATAAAAAGAAAATTTATATATTAAAAAAAAAAACAAGCTGACTATGTAGGTTAACGCAATTACTGACTCTCCCCTCCATTGCAGAACAACCTTAAGTAACGACATGACAGGATAAACTAAGATAAACTCAAATAAACTAAAATGGGGGACAGGAACAGTACACACGTATTGCTTGTCAGTATATTTATGCTTGTCAGAACAGAGGTGACTCCATTTTGTATTACAAGGCTAAGACAGACACACGATTTCTCTTTCTATCACTCTACTCATTCAGGTCTGAGCTAAGGAATGTGACTAATGTAAACATTAGTGATAAAAACTGAGATAAGGCATGATGTCTAACAGCAAAAGGGAGAGGAATGCTACAAACCAGACACCAAATAACAGATAACACTAAGTAATTAATTTTACTAAATTTTACTAAAAAATTAACAAATCTTACAAAGTTGCATTGTAAGAGAAACAGTGAAAATTAGGTATCAAATCTAATTTTACGACCGAAATTGCAGATACCCAGACTGGGAAAATGCTTTGAAAATGGCAGGTTCTGTGATATATAGCAGATATAAAAGATAACAAAATTACATGAAACGCATCACCAAATTCAGTTAACCCATTATACAAAAAAGATAAATGGACCCCCAGACAAGAATTTTCGGTGATGTAATTGCGCCACCTACTGACCAGAATCTAGATGATAGTCTGTAGGGAAGACACACCCACAGCTCTCTATTGGTCCTATCAATTAGTGATGTGCAGAGAGTTTTCCCCTTTAAAAAAATAAGGACAAAGGAAAGAGAGAGATTCGGACTCTTGGACACTCTCTGAAACACACTGGGACATAACAATTAACCTCTTGGACTATACTCAAGACTCTCACTCAAACACTCTCTTGGACACTCTGACTCTTAGACTCACTCAAACTTACACAACTTCAGAACTCTGAAAATTTTTCTATTTTCCACAATTCTCATCATACTTGCATTTAAAATTCCTGGGACATATCTACACATCTGATAGAAAATCTACAACCTAACTGGTAATTATGCTGATTTTATTAAATTAAATTAATTGATTTTATTAAAAGGCAGAATATACATGAATAAAAGCTGGTGATTCCAACAATTAAGGAGTCATGATTCGTTGATAATATATAGAATTCGTAATTCCATTCCTGCAGGTGGACCAATGAACTCTGTATTACTTTTAACTTTAAAAATATAATACCAGGCAATTATCCAAATTAGGAAAGTTAAACTTCTGCAAACATAAAATCTGGTTAGAATTATTATTATTGGATGGTCCTAGCAATGGTGAATGGTCTTGCCTATAAGAATTGTAGCCAGCAGTGGAAGAGTTAATTCAGTGTGATTTGACTGTCAGCCAAAGTTTTTATTGCTTTATGCCGCACTGCTGTGTTCTATGAAGTTTTGTCTTCTCTGTGAATTTGGTTTCTAATGAGTGTCCTATCATAAATCTTATTGACAACTGGTATATACAAATCTTGTTTTTAGCTGTCT